GCCCCCGCCCCGCCCCCCGCCCCGCCCTCCTCCTCGCCGCCTGCTCCTCTGCCCCCGCGGCCACGCGAGGATCCCGGGGGAGGCAAGATGGAAGAAATCCTGCGAAAGCTGCAGAAGGAGGCGTCGGGGAGCAAGCACAGGGCCATCAAGGAGAGCTGCACCTCGGCCATCGGTAAGGGGCGGGGGGTGCGGGCAGCGGCGCCGGGCTGACCCCGCCGTGGCCGGGCTGCCCGCGGGGGAGCGGAGCGGAGTGGGACCCGGCCCTGCCCGTAGTGGTGTGGGGCAGGAGCCTCCGATGGGGAGGTTTTGTAACGGCGGGGGCTGGGAGACCTCAACAAACTTGTTCGGCGCTGGCCGCTGAGCTTCCAGCGGGTGGGGAGGGACCGGAGCGCCTCAGGCGGTTCAAAATGCCCGGGAGCACCGCGCTGCTGGAGGGGGCTGTTGCACCTGCTGGCGGTCCCGGGGAGCATACGTGTACCTCCCCACCCCCATCTCTTGGGTCTGCTTCTCTTCTTGCGAGGCAGATGTGGGTATCAGTAGCTACCAGTTTCTGTGTATGTTGGGTGTGTGTGTGTGTGTCTTTCCTTTAAAAGCTTCTTCCTCTCACCACCCCTTTCCATCATAAAAAAATCTCCAGTACAGTTTTCGCTGCTGGCTTACGTTTGGGCATCTATTTTAAAAGCTGGATTTTTTTGACTGGATTCCATGAGCTTTTTTATCCTTGCTCTATAATGGAAATAATGATCAATAAACCAAGTTCTTCTTTTAAGGGAATATGAGCTTAGGTAAATTTCAGCATCCACCCATTTTCAGGGATTGGCTGTGACTTGAAGTGCTTTTGATGCTAACTACCTGGAGCACTAGTCAGCAAGACCCTTAACTTACATCAGCATAACTGCGATACTGAAAATTGCTTTAAATTTTTATTTTTCATCCGTAGTTACAGCAATCAGTGGTAGTTCATACCTGTTGCTGTCTTATTACTGACCTTTCAGCTTGATGTTCCACGGGTTGCTTCATTAATTGTGTGTTATCCTTACACAGCAGCCATGCTAATATCCTCTATGCTGTTCCAGTTTTAGTATACGTGCTGCTGAAGTGCTGATAACGTGAAAAGGAGTTCACTGAGGAAAAGATGGTACTCAGTGCCTTCTCATTGGGCACCCAGTGTCCTGATAGATTCATGCAAATCTTTGGATACTTGGAGCAGCAGTGAATGTTGTTCTGTCAGCTGGAGTAGGTATAAACTTTAGGATCGTTGGGTCAGAGATTGTAGCCAGATGTATTACTATGGTTGAAATCAAAAGTTTCTTTTAAAAGCCCTATTGTTTCCTTTGGTTATACAGAAACCTTGGATTCTCCTGATGCTGCTATCAAGATACCTCCGTATCAGCTAAGGTAAGAACATTTAATGTTGAATCCTGTGGAGCTGTGAGTATTTGTAAAATTGAAGTAAAAATTTGAATTAAAAGTGAGGTAGACAGAGGAAGGGGCTGAATCTATGTGATTTCTTTAGTTTGTAAATATACGTATCTAGGCTGGTAGTAGGGGATAATTTGCTGATGAGCCCTTGGCCTCTAGCCATGAATGAAATGTAAGGAAACGTGTAAAAATGGGCAGGAGTATGTATAATGGTGATACTTGGTTAGAAAGGAGGGCTGTCTTATGGTCTAAAGGGTTTTTCTTCTAAATTACAGCCTTCAGTATAAGTGATGATGCTTCTCAGTGTGTTTGTTTTCTTTTAAATCTAGATCAGTGTTTGTTTACTGAAAATAAATATTCCAGAAACTGAAAGGTTATATCACCATAGAGCTAGGACAGTAGGTAGGAACTAAAATAATACAGTTTCTATGCCTACTTCTTCCTTTAGCCTGCTAGGTTATCTTGAGTAAGCCTTCTCCCTTCTTCCTGCCTCCATTTGTACACCTGTAAAATGGGGGAGGTGGCACTGCCCCCATTTGTAGAGCTATTTAAGATCTCATTTTGGAAATTCTGATTGCTGTGGAGAAAGTAAATAGGCAAAATTTTTCACTGTCCCTTCTGACAGAACCACTAGGAAGCGTCAAAACAAACTAGCAAGTACAGTGTTCAAAACAGGAGGATACTACTTCACACAGCTCATAGTTAAGATGTAAAATGCTTAGACTTGCCTTGTTAGAGAATGTAATGGATGCTAAAAGTTTGCATGGGTTCAAAAAGCACCTCAACAAATCCATGCAAGAAATTGATTGAGGTCTATCAAATGCAAAGGTACCCCTTCTTATTCAGAAGTACTTTAGTCAGAGATGATAGAGTTTATAAAAGAGTATGGAGGAGTGTTGCTATGAATTTGGCCTGTCCTGTAGTCTTCCTGGGTATCCACTAGTAGCTACTGACAGAGGAGACACTTTTTTACCACAATACTACTCTTCTCAGAGTATTTTTACCATCTTATTACTCCCCCCTGCTCCTTTCAGATATGCTTGGTGCAGCGTTGTGCAAGGAAAATTAGGGATTGAAGAGCTAGTTATTGCAGAGCAGTCACCAAATAGGGAAGGAATAAGAGCAGTCTTTTGCTGCTCTAAACTCCTGTCAGCTGCAGTCCACAAGGGGCTTCAAGTCAATGGGGAATGGATGAAGCATAGGTCTGGCATGACCAGTGCCAGACACATGCATTTCCAACACAGGTTGGGCAGCTGAGAACAGCTGGATGAGTAATTCCCAGTAGCTCCATTAGAATTAGATTATGTTTACTTGGCACTGTGGTTGGAGAAAACTTGGCTCTTTATCTTCCCATTTATCACCTTTCATCTGTAATACAGTGTATGGTCTCTGTTTTTAAGTACTATTCTCATTCCCTATGAATTAGTTAGCTAGTCGTTACCACATTTCTTCCTTTTCCACTTGCCTACTGCCTCTTTACAGATATGCCTACCTTTTTATCTTCTTCCTCCAGTGTTCTTAATGTTGTATTTGTTTAGCTGGGTTTTTTTCCCCACTGTAAATCCCAATCTTTTTAAATAAAGCTAATACCTTCACAGGTGTAGCTATGATGAAGTAAGCTGGTAACGTTAGACTTGTCAGTAACAATGCACTCAATATTTCTGGATGTTTTACAAAATGAAGGGTGCACTAGAGAATTTGAATAAAAGCTTTGGTTGTGCGGTCCTTGGTATGGTTCTGCCACACGACCTCAGACAGTGTGGGAGATGTTGCTGTCACCAGCACTCTGAGCTTACTCTTCATTTTCTACTAACAAGCTACTGCCAGACTCCAGATCAGCACACTGGGCTACATCTTGGGCTGGAGTTCACCTGCATGATGTGCAAATTAGATAAAAGTTCATCTTTGCTTGGTATTTGTTAAAGAACAGCACCGTGACAACTTGGTTCCTAACACTGTAAAAGAATAGCCTTGAAAATAGAGCAATGGCAATGACCAGAAATGCAGCCAAGATGGGTGCAGGATGGAGAATCCTGACCATGCCCTTTTCCTGCTTGCATCTTGATCAGGTGCAGATTGCATCATCTGCTGTAACACAGATCAGCCCCTGGCTGCTCATCGACTTTGAATCTGCCATTCACCTTTTCTGCTGTAATATTTTTGGGTGTAGTAGCGGAGCCTGGGGATATGGTCTGGAGTATTCTGTGATACTAGAGTTAGAGTGAAGGTATGTATCATCTTTCCACCAAGTGACCCTGGTCCACAACTCTGATCCGAGATCCATAGTAGTAATATACTGAAAGCGTTAAAGGCAGTGTGCCAAATAGTTCAGGAGAAAAATACATATTTGTGAGGTCTCTTCCAGGAGCAGCAGTGGAATGAGTATTTCGAGTACTGCATGGCAGGGAAAATGTTCCAGCTTGTTTAGTAGGAAAGTTTGGTGTGTCCTTAGAATATACTGAATACAAGGAAAGTGTATCAGCCCTTCTTTAGAGTATATTTGGGGAAGTTAATGATCTAAGGCACATCTATACTGCATAAGAATAGGGGACAGAGATTCATGATCTGCCATGTCCAGTTGAGACAGATACTGGCTCAGTTTCAGAAATAGTGAATTTAGTAAGTACCCCAATCAGTATTGTTTCTATTTCTCCACAAAGCAGCATCTGGCTTCCACTAACAAGTTGTGCTGGTGTTACTGCTGTTTAACAGGATGGCCATGCCCTTGCTTAAGTCCTTCTTTTCTTTCTGTAACTGAAGAATGAAGTCTGCTCACGAGAAGAAGGTGTAAACTGCATACTCCCTTTTTTTCCCCCCTTAAAAAGTAAAAGGCCATTTGCTGGTTTTGAAACCACAGTTCTAGATGAGTAGAGGTTCTTCATAATGTTTTCTGTTAAGACCATGATCCTAGCATGAGAATGGGGAAGACAAGTTATCTCTCTGCATTTCCTCAGATTATGACTAGATGAGTTCAGGGTGTCTTACATGTGTTACATCAGCTACATACTTATCTCCACCGTACCATTGGGGTAGATTACTTCTATGTTCTGGCTTGCTCCTGACTTTTCCATAGCTTCCTCTCTTGTGTTGGGCTTCTGTAACTGAACACCGGGCAGGCCACATTATAGTTTCCTGAAGTCCATGCAATTAGTTAGGGGGGTTCAGCTGTAGCATTTGTATGGGAGCGGTTTCCAGCACTTGTCTGGTAGCAGTTTAGATATCATGTGCCTGCTCTGTTTGGGGGCACCTGGGGTACTTTTGCCCCAAGGGAGTGCAGTGACTGGACATTCAGCCTGGAATGTCATTCTTTAATTAGTTTGATAGAGATCTGTTGGGTATATATTCAGGGAGCTAAATGAGACTATTTTGCTGTTCAGCTTCCTTTGATGTTAATTGGACTTATGAATCCAAATCCCAGTTAATGACCTTGCATATTAATTCCAGTGAGGGGCATTATGTAAATGTTTCACTTCCTAAAGAAATACAAATCTCCAACAAATATGGAGTTTCCCACAGAGTCCTGTCAGCTCTGCCTTGAGATAGGAATATTTGTGTGCTTTTTCAGTCCTTCAACTTGTGATCAGAGTATTGAGCAAGGGTATGAAATAGTAAAGAAGATTAAAGTGGACCAGGAGGGAAATGACCTTAAGTCAGTTCAAGGCTTTGCCATAGACGTCCTGTGAAGGGAGAGTCATGTAACCCGTTGGTAACTGGTCTGTGTTGCCTGCCTAGTATGATGATGTTTGTCTCTGATGAACAGGTGTTGTGAAGATTGTATATCTACTAAGTGGTTAAGGAGGCTGGATGGATGACTTATAAATAATGAGTTAGATAAAAGGAATTGATGTGCTGGTGTTTTAATTGGTGAATTGATCACATAGAAAATAGCTTAAGAGAGCTTAATGTCCGCCAGGAAACAATTGTTTGCTACTAAGTTGAGCTGCATTCACTTCAGTATTTTCAAGATGACAAATTCTGCCCTAAAGGCCAACCACCTACACTGAGCAAGTCTCTGTTCTTGGCTAATTCTTGGCCAGTTTCTCCATTGTGATTTTAGAAGCTGAAATATGATCCATGAAAGGTAACTGAACAGACACAAGAAAATGAGCCTTGAAAGAGAATGTTTGATCAGAGCAGTTTAATGCTCATAAGGATTATCTACATACCAGAGAATAAAATAAGAGGCTAGACAGTGCTTGCCGGTCACATACTGCTTTGGAAAAACTTGGGTTTACCAGAGTTTCTTGGAATGCTTTATGTAGTTAAGTCATGCCTTATAGGCTATGTAAAACTTAGTGGCTTTCTATCAGCACAGACTTGGCGCTGCAAAGAGGAGGTTGGTTGGGACTTCTGAGGGAGGCTGTGGCTTGGTGGGTAGTTTAGCCGGTGTGTTTTGGTGTTGCTGTCCTCACTAGAACCTGGAATCTTACATACAAAATTTCTTACCACATCCCTGCCATTCTTCATTAGGAATTTTTTTTTATTATCCTAAAGAGATTTTTCTCATATTTCTAAGATATTTTCTGTAATTTCCAGGTCTTACTACTATCCTGTCATTACTTTTCTTTTCTTCTGACCAGAACAATAGCAAAATATATATTTTTTGCCCTTTTGTCAGTGTAGCAGAAGCATCACTGCAGACTTGAATTTGAGCTGTTCTGTGGAACTTGTGTGGCTGTTGTCTCTTTACTCTCAGAAATATGGCTGAGTGCAGAAGAAGATGCATAGGCAAGACTCTCAATAGTATAAATTGCTGTTCATGCTAGTTTAAAGTTTCCCCTGTGGACTTTAAAGCAATGGCCATGAGACATGTTGATGTGTGAGGCATGCTGGCATAGTAACTGATGTAATTTGCATTCCTTCAAAGAAGAACCAGAAAGGTTCCAAATGCTTACTTATTTCTTCAGCATATCTGTATACTGCACGTCTCTGTATCTAAAAGCTGCAGAAAGTAATTGAAATCGAATGGAGGTACA